CGGGAACGTTGGCTGGCCTTAGGAAGGAGAGTGACCATACTAGAACTAGAGGTAGGAAGACCCAGATGGATCAGAGAAAGAAGCATCTCCCAGAAGCAGGGACTACTGTCCCTTGGGGGCCCTGACCCTCTCCTGCCATGCCATGCTGTCTCCACCTGGGTCATTTTCTCTAATTTCCCCCCATTGGAGACTTGAATTCAGCCCTAGAACCATCCAGGCTTCTAGCCCATTTTCTGGCCATGTCTCTAGCCCACCTACCAGGGACCCTCCCCTTTCTCCCCTCCTTTGCAGCTTCTCTCTATGAGTGATCCTCCCTCATTGGAGAGTAAGCTCCTTGAGGGCAGATGCTGTCTTGTTTGCTGGTGTTTGTACTCAGAGCACTTAGCACAGTGCTGGGCACAATGCAAGCCCTGAATAAACCCTTTCTCTAATCCCTGGAGAACAAAAAAAAAATCTTATGTCCAGTACATCTGTAGCTGCATCATCGTGGGTCCTCCCTCTTTCACTGCCAATCACAACCAACTCATACCTTCTCACACTGTGCAATGCCAGTCCACACCCATTTATATTCATTCTTCCCAAGGAGTCCACCCAACCATGGGGGGAGGGGCAAGTGTCCTCCTCGATTTCACTTAATTTTATCAGTCCACAGGGCAGCTTGACCTGGAGTCAGTAAGACCTGGGTACAAACCCAGCCTCAGATACTTACTAGCTGTGTGACCCTGGACAAGTCACTTAATGGCTTCCTGCCTCAGTTTCCTCATCTGTCAAATGGGGATGATAATAGCCCCTAGCTCTGAGGATTACTGGAGGATCAAAGAAGCTACTGTATGTAAAGTGCTTTGCAAATCTGGGCACTGGGAGCTACCACTATTTCCTCCACCTGGGTCTCCCAGCACAATGGGCCCACTTCCATTTTCAGTCCTAATCTCTTTGACACCTTCCCTACAGCTTCCTTTACTCCTGTTTATGGTTGCTAAGAGTGCTGTGGCCCATTCATAAGCTGTTGTTTTTTTCCACATTAGATAAAATCCTCATGTCCTGTCAATAACAGCCACAAATACCAAGAGCTGAAAACACGTCAAGGATCGTGAATTTGCCCATGTGGGCACTCCCTTTGCAGTTAACATGTTGCAGAATGCAACTTCTCCATCTTCTGTTGTTGTCCAGTCATTTCAGTCATGTCTGACTCTCCATGACCCCATTGGGGGTTTTCTTGGCAGAGATTTGCCGTTTCCTTTCTCCAGCTCATTTGACAGATGAGGAAACTGAGGCAAACAGGGTAAAGTGACTTGCCCAGGGTCACACAGCCAGTAAGTGTCTAAGGCCAGATCTGAAGATGAGCCTTCCTGATTCCAGGCCTGGCACTCTACGCACTGTTCACCTAGCTGCCTTTCTCCATCTTTCAGCAGGTGGTCTTGGTGGGTTGCTGTGGCTGAAAAATTCCTTAACTTTCCCTGCACCTCATTGGGGGCCTCCTGGATTGATCTTCAGATGACCAGCATTTCAATCCTTTACCAAGTTTGATGTCTTGGTGCCTTGGTTTCTGCCATTCAGTGCCAGGGCTAGGCTAAGCTTGAATGGTTTTTAAGAAGGTAAGGATAACTTCAGGCATTGAAATAAGACTTTGGTGAAAGCAAGTTAAAAACTATTTTTCATGAATTCTGCACATGTCTTCTTGGGTCTAGATGTAAAAGAACCTTAACCTTACCCTAGTACAATAAATTAAACTCTCATTAATGTAATTAGAAGGGACTTCAAATCTAATCTAGATTCCTTATTTTACAGATAAGGAAACCGAGACCAGAGAGTCTCCTATGTGCCCAAGGACACACCAGTTAGGAAACAGTATGAGAAATGTTTCAAGTTGGGTCCAAGCTGACTTCATTTTTTTTGCTGGGTGAAATTGAAAGATCCAAGGCTTTTCTAAGTTGAGTTCATCCAGTCTGACACTGGAACTGGACCTGTAATTTCATTGGCATAGAGAACTCCTATATAGGGAAATTCTTTCTACCCGTGAAGGCTTGCACCTTCTCAGAAATTTAAAGTCTTGGAGAGTTGCCTAGGGGGCACTGAGAGGTTGAGTGACTTGACCAGGGTCACCAGGCCAATAAGTGTCAGAGGCTGGGACTTAAACCCTGGTCCTCCTGGTTCTGAGGAAGGCTCTTCATGGGGTAAGAAGGTGATGGGTGGAGTAAGTCTGTGAATTTGAAAATCAATGAAAGAATAAAAAAATTAGAAGAGAAGTAAATTACATATCTTTCACCACTACAAACAGGAGATGTATTTTTGCCCAAACAAGGGTCTCTTCCAGAGTCATTTAAGTCCAGTGGCAGAACAACCTCAAGAGGACTGGCAATGGCCCGGGATGCAGTGGATGACCTTGGTGTCTTCTGTCTGACCAAGCTCTAAGCTCTAAGCCTCCACAACACCTGCTTCAGCTTTTGTGGCCTGTTTGAACACATTGTTCACCTCTGCCCTTTCTGGCGGGAAAGTCTTCCCACCCTTGAGGTAGACATCCCCCAACTCACCCATAGGTTTGAGGCCTGTTGGTTACCCTCCACCTGGTTTAGCCTGTCTGCTGAGATGGTTTTACCGGGGTGTGGCCACTGTGCATGCTATGGCTTCTTGAAGCCACAATATTACATTATATATTTATACAAATATATGACCAAAGTCATTTCCTAATAGATAAATGGCCATAGGATTTGAACAAACAATTGATGAAAGAATTGCATATAGCCACATATAGGAATGAGCCAGATGTATAATAATGAGAGAAGGAAAAATCCATCCAAATAACCCTGAGATATCACCTCATATCCTACAGTTTGGCAAAGATGACAGAGTACGGTGCTAATCAATGTTGGGGGGAGGGGGTGTCGTGGGCAGATAGGCCCTCTGTATGTCTTTGGTGGAGCTGTTAATCAACACAAACCATTTAGGAAAGCAATTTGTTATTATGCAAATAAGGTGATTAAAATATGCGTGCTCTTTGACTCAGAGTTTCCACTAGCACATTTATTCCCCAAAGAGCTCACTGACGAGAAGAGAGTCCTCATACATGCCAAAATATTTATGACGGGCACTTTTTGTAGTGGAGAAGAAATGGAGGCTAGGAATGTCCATTGATTGGGGAATGGCTGGTTGTGGTACATGAATGTAAGAGAAAATTACTGGGCTGCAAGAAATGATGAACTGGGTGAGTACAGAGAAGCATGGAAACTCAGATGAAGCTGAGACAAGATGACAATATACACAATCATGACAAAAATGTAAAGAGAAAGATCACACACACAAATCAAAAGTGAACATAGAAAAACTATAAAGAATAACTGTGGCCCCAAAGAAGACATATAGACAAGACACCTCTACCTCACTTTTTTGCAGAAGTGGGAGGTCCAAAGGAATGAGAAACTACATGTATTATCAGACTTTTTAAAAGAAGTGATCAGTTTTGCTGATTTGCTTTTCTCTTTTTTCTTTCAAAAAAAAAAAAAAAAAGGCATTTCATGTATGGAATAGCCCTGAGGGAGTGGGGGAGAAATAGTAGAAGAAATTTGGGTGATGTGAAAAAGACAGAAGATATCAATACACATTTTTTCTTTGTTTTTGTTTTAAGTAGATGAGAGACACAAAGAAGAGTCACTAAACAACAGCTTGGACATCTTTGATTATAGAACTGTGCTGAGAAGGTTCTCCTCAAGAGCACTGGGCAGGAAGTTAGGAGAACTGAGTTCTAGTCTCACCTCTGAAATTTATGAATCACATTTTATTACAGATTTGGAACGAGAAGGTACCTTAGCTAGTTCAACCCCTCGTTTCTGCAAATGAGAAAACCGAGACCAAGGGAGAATAAGTGCCTTGCTCAAGGTCACACAGGAAGCAAATGGCAGGTCATGGGTGGGATTATACAGATCCAGAGCTGGAAGGGACCCCAGGGCCATCTAGTCTAGCTCCCTCACTTTACAGCTGAGGAAACTGAGGCTTAGGGAGAGGAAGTGACTTGCTCAAAATCACACAGGTTTCCTGAGTAGTAGAGCTGGGATCTGAAACAAGGTGCTCTTACTCCTCATTAACTAGCGGTGTGACATTGGACAAAGAACTTTCTGGGCCTCAGTTTCAGCAAGTGCAAGATGAGGAGGTTGAACTGGGGTTCCCTTCCAGCTATGGAGCTATGATCCCAGGAAGCTCTGGGATGCCCAGGGCCTGCCTCAGTTTCCTCCTCATCTGTAAAAGGAGGGGGTCAGATTAGATAGATGGCCCCCCGCAGAACTCTGACCCTCGGGTCTATGGTCTCTTATCATACTATGACCTGAATATACCTCTGTTTGATGGATCCTGAAGGGGGGTGCAGGGGGGGGTCTGCTGAGGAATTCAAGGACAGAGACAGAAAGATAGAAATAGTTAATAAAACAGATAAATTAGTTACAGGCAAAGTACTTTGCAAACCTTAAAGTGATATACAAATGCTAGCTGTTATTATTAGAAAGATACTCTGATGAATGTATAAATGTAATATACAGAAATCACTTCACAAATCTTGAAGTACTATATAAATACTAGCTATTATTATTGTCATTAGGCAGATTTACCATGCGCAAACTGCTTTGTCAATCTTAAAGTGCTATCATTATTGGATGCATGGGAGATACAGTGCAAAGCACTGTGCAAACCTCAAGATGCCATATAAAGGCTAACTATTAGTAGATTCTACAGTTAGTATTTTATGAATATAGTACTTTATATTTATGTTATATAGCAATTTAAGGTTTGCAAAGAGCTTTAAAAAACATTACCAGACGTGTGCAAAGTGCTTCGCAAACCTTAAAACGCTTTATAAATAGCATTGGTCATTATTATTAGGTGGCCAGTTTGATCACTTTACTGACAAACTAGACAGACGGACGGATAACAGAGCACTTACTAAGCCCCCTCAGTATACCAGGTTTAAGGATAAGGTCCTCTAGCCCCCTAGCTAAGCATGCTGGGATCGGTAGTTCGGGCACATCTTTAGGCTGTAGGAAGTCCCGCGAGAGGATAACGAGAAGAGAGGGCACGTGGAGCGGCAGCTCCCTTGCCCCTTCAAAGTTCTACAAGGAGGGCGGGGCCAAGCCGCCAACTTAATCTGCTAGGGAGAGTTTCCTTGCTTGTGGCTAGGTGGGAGGGGTTTAGGGCAAGACAGGTGACATAGGTCGGGCGACGATTGGTTGCGCGCTCTGTGACGCAGGGCGAGGGACGGGAACTCGGCTAAGCCAATGGCCGCCGCGGGCTCCTGTCACGTGGCGGGCCTCTTATTCGCGCAAGAAGCGCCCAGGCCTCGGACTGCGCCCCGGGATGGAGAGGGAAGTGGAGCGGCAGCCATCACCGCCCCCGCCGCTGTCCCCGCCGCCTCCTCGGTTCCAGCCTCCGACCCGGCAGAAGTCACTGGCAGAGCTGCCGCTGACGAGCTTCGAGGAGGAGCACTACGACTGCTACGAATACTACAACCTGCGGGAGTACCCGATCCGCGGGCCCGGCTGGAGCAAGGGCCGCACCCGGCGGGAGCGGGAGCTCCGCACCAACCGGCCGGTGCCCGCGGGCCATGAGCGGAAGATCGCCCGGAAGCTGTACAACAGCCAGCGGAAGCGGCGCCAGCGCCAGCTGCAGCCCCGGCCTCGCACGCGGCTCTGCTGAGGGGGGCGGCCCCCCCGCTCCCGTCGCCCCCCCCCGCCCCTGGCCACGGTGCGTGTGCGCGTGTGCGTCGGTGTGCGCGTGCGCGCCCTGGCTCCGGCTCCGGCTGGGTGGGAGGCTTCCTGGGGGCCCGCTTCCCCCTCCCTCCTCCGGGAGACCCCGTGCGGTCGGGCTGTACGCTGAGGGCCCCGTTTTTCACATGGGGAAACTGAGGCTGAGAGTTCAGGGACTGGCCCAGGGTCACACAGCTAACGCAGTGTCTGAGACGGGATTTTAACTCTGGACTTCTTAATTCCAAGCCCCACCCCTTCAAAAAAATCCAGCCTTGGTGACTTTCCCATAACTGCTAGAAACTTTCCTTCCCTTTGTCTCCTGCCAAGGCCAAGGGCTTTTCGTGGTTCCAGGGATTTTTAAGTGGAATGTTCCCAAGGCTTAATAATCGAAGCGCAAAAAAAACCCAAACCCTGACATTTGTCCATTCACAGTTCATCAGACAACCAGCCCTTCACACTGAAGAGAAAAGATGTTTATTAAACAGTCAGCAGACATGTATTAAATGCCTACCTACTATGTGCCAGGTGGATCCAAAGAAAAAGACTTATGCCCCTGCCTCTGGGCTGAACTGAGGTTACAAATACAAGCAAAGAGGGCAGTTCCTGCCCTTAAAGAGCTTACATTCTAAAGGAAAGTCTCCCTCATTAGACAGTGAGCTACTATACTAGAGAACAGGAACTGTTTTGCCTTAGCATAATGCCTGGCACGTAGTAGGTGCTTAATACGTGCTAATTAACTGTAAATGGACAAATGTTAGATGTGTTGCTTTTAGAGTTGGCCTCCATTATAAAATCTTGGGAAATGCTACTTTTTAAAAAAAATCCCAGGAACTCCTTAAAGTCATTGGCCCTTTCAAAGGCCAGGAAACAGTTCTCTCCCTCATGTGTGTGGACATAGATGTTCCTCCAGAAATCATCGTTGCCCCCCATGGTGACCCTCTCACTGAAGAGATCCATTATCTTTTTGTTTTAATTTTTTGCAGGCTGCACAAAGGACATGTTAGAGTCTTTTCTCTGACTCCAGCTGTAACTGGCCATAAGGGAGAGAGAGTCCATGTTGGTCACCAGGGCTTTTTTTTTGACACCTCAGTGCCTTTTCCCTTTGAGCTCTTCCTTCAGTAAGATCTGTGTTCAGTCCCTTTGGGTGTGTCTTCTCTTTAGGATTCCTCATTAAAGGAGAGCAGCAAGAATGGCTTTTCAACTCTTTTCTTTTGGTCAGTTAATGTTACTACGAGCACAAAAGTGGTTTTAAAATAGGTGCTTATAAGACATTGATGGGATTACAGAAAACTACTTTGTAGTTTAGGTACCAGAATAATAAAGATCAAATCTATTCTTCTATTGTACAGTACTTGTACATGTACTTTGTCAGCACTCCCTTGTTACAAGTGGCAGGTATGTGTTAGGTCAGTAAAAAAAATTGGCCAAGACTGATTTTTGCCAATTAAGAAAGCTCAAAAGATACACTGTTGCCACCTTTGCAGAGTCCTGGACTTCCAAGTCTGGTCTCGAGCCTAGTTTTGAAGCCTGGCTCTGCTTTTTAATACCTAGTTTGACTCCCAGCAGGTCTGCTCTTAATACGTGATCTTTAATTTCCTCATCTGTAAAGTGAGGGAGTAGGATTAAATGATCTCTAAAGACCTATGTAATGCAGAGTGCTGAGCCTGGAGTCAAGAAAAACTGAGCTCAAATCCAACCTCAGACATTACTAGCTGTGTGACCCTGGACAAGTCACTTCACCCTGTTTGCCTCAGTTCCCTCATCTGTCAAATGAGCTGGAGCAGGAAATGGCAAACCACTACCATATCTTTGTCAAGAAATCCTGAAATGGGTTCATGAAGAGTTGGACACAACTGAACAAGAAGAAAGACCTCTCAGGATTTTTAAAAATACTTTAAAAAAAAAAAGACACTGTTAGAATTACTATGGAAAATGCTTCATTCCAAGGCTAATATTTTGTGGTGAAATAAAAATAATTTTTAAAAAAATTAGATATTTTGTTATTCTCCTAGAGGCCAAGATAAGGTTTTGAGTTTTTTGTTTTATTTTTGTGTGACTGAGGACACTGGAGATTCTCAGAAGCATCTATTTTAAGCTTCATGCTTAAAACAGTTCCCTGCTTTGGGACAGTATTTAATGTTGTAGTATCTGAAGTTCCTATTAATATTTCCAGGGATAAAAGATAAATTATAATAATTCATTATGAAATTATACTGATTAAGTGTGGCAAAATCTTTTCTATCTCCTTACGGTGAGCCTCTCTTTTGTTAGATTTATACAGCCTCTCCCCACCTCCTTACAGGTGATGGGATTAAGATGGATCCAGATGGAGACAAAAATAATTTGTTTGCCTTGACTTTGCTAATTTGTTAGAAGAGGTTTGAGTTTTTCCCCCCAGGTTTTTTTTTGGGAGGAGTGGGGGTTGTTAAAGAGAGAAAATAAACGCTTAAGGGGCAGCTAGGTGGTACTGTGGATAGAGCACCGGACCTGGAGTCAGGAGGACCTGAGTTCAGATCTGACCTCAGACACAACACTCACTAGCTGTGTGACTCTGGGCAAGTCACTTAAACCTCAATTGCATCACTCCCCCCCCCCAAAAAATATACATATATATAGTATGGAGCAGCTAGGTGGTACAGTGGATAAAGCACTGGTTCTGGAGTCAGGAAGACCTGAGTTGAAATCCAGCCTCAGACAATTACTAGCTGTGTGACCTTGGACAAATCACTTAACCCCAATTGCCTAAAAAAAAATGTGATAGTATTTTATTTTTTCCAATTGCATGTAAAGACAATTTTCAGCATTCATTTTTTGAAAAATTTTGAGTTCCAAATTTTTGTCCCTCCCCAAGAAGATAAGCAATCTGATATAGGTTATACATATGAAATCATATAAACATATTTCCACATTAGTCATGTTGTGAAAGAAGAAACAGAACGAAAGGGAAAAACCATGAAAAAAAAAAGGAATAGTATACTTCAATCTGCATTCAGACTCCATCAGTTCTTGACCAATATCTTAAATCGTTTACCTACCAAGACATGATCAAAATGGATATATGACTTAGATATAAAGGGAGATACAAGAAAAGAATTAGAACATAGAACATAATAACTATCAGACTTATAGGTAGAACAATTTATGAATAAACAAGAAATAGCATTGTGAGGTATAAAAAGGATAATTTCAATTACATTAAGTTAAAAGGATTGTGTACAGATAAAACCAGTGTAGCCAAGAGTAAAAGAAAAGTAGAAAATTGAGGAAAAAATTTTTATAGTCTCTCAGATAAAAGTCTCATTTCTCAAATATATAAGGAATTTTGTCAAATTTATAAGAATACAAGTCATTCCCTAATTGATAAATGGTCAAAGGATACGAACAGGCATTTTTTTGATGATGAAATCAAAACTACATATAGTCATGAAAAAATGTTCTAAATTGTTATTGATTAGAGAAATGCAAATTAAAATAACTTTAAAATATCATCTTACAGGGGGCAGGTAGGTGGCACAGTGGATAAAGCACAGGCCCTGGGGTCAGGAGGACCTGAGTTCAAATGTGGCCTCAGACACTTGACACTTAATAGCTGTATGACCCTAGGCAAGTCACTTAACCCTGACTGCCTCACAAAAAAAAAAAAAGATCTTACACCTATAAGAGTGGCTAAAAATGGTAGATGCCTTTCAATGGGGAATGGCTAAACAAATTGTGGTACATGATTGTGATGGAATACTACTATGTGAAATGATGAACTAGTTGCTTTTAGAAAAACATGGAAAGACTTGCGTGAAATAATGAAAAGTGAAATGAGCAGCACCCAGAGAATGGTGTACGTAGTAATAGAAATACTGTCCTAAGAACAACTCTGAATGACTAATGCATCTTGACCATCAGAAATATTCAAATCAACGACAAAGGACTGATGAAGGAAGATGCTATCCACCTCCATGGAAAGAACTGATAAACAGAAGTGTGTATAGTATGGTTTTACCCACTTACATATGTGTGTGTGTCCTTAATTGTAGCCTCTCTAGGAGGGGTGGGGAAGGAGAAAAAAAAGTGCACAACAGAGAACAAAAGAAAACTTAGAAGGAGGCACAGGAAGGCAGGGTAGCTTTGAAAACAATGTGTAGTATTACATAGTTATCAAAAAAAGTAAACGGGTTGAAATGGAAATTCATGATTTTATATTAAATTCTCTATGTTGTGCTGTGTACATGGATATGGTTTTGGGTTGGGTTTTTTTGTTTTTTGTCTTTTTGTTTTTAAGTTCAAAATGAATAAAAAAATTTTTAAAAAATAAGTCAAATAAGATGGACAAAGGACAGGAATTAATGCTCCTTTGGCAGCCCAGTGATGCCTAACCCTGTAATGTTATTAAATGCATAAAACAAAATACATAGGATTACAAAGGAAACCAATCATATTCAAATACAGTGATCAAAACATTTTTTAAAACAAGTTCATGGAGGGGGGGCAGCTAGGTGGCCCAGTAGATAGAGCTCCAGCCTTGGAGTCAGGAGGACCTGAGTTCAAATCTGGCCTCAGACACTTGACACTTAACTAGCTGTGTGACCTTGGGTAAGTCACTTAACCCTGATTGCCTCACCAAAAAGCAAAAAAAAAAAGTTCATGGGACCCCAGTTTAAGAAACCTTGCCTTAGGATGTAGTAGGTTTCTCTTAAGCACTAGAGATCTTCCAGTGAAGGCTGCTGCATTGGGGAAATTGTAGAGGGGAATCCTCTCTGGGTTGGAATGAGTAGCATCTGGGGGCCCTTCCACCTCTCAGATTCTATAGTTCTGTAAAGAGCCCATAGCATCTTTTTTTTACTCAGTCATTTTCTGTATCACTATCTTTGGCACAGATTCATATGATCTAACAATTCTATGGGGTATGACTTTTCTCCTCCAGCCTCTTACTCCAGATGCTATGGACCATTACCCTTAGACCCTAAATGGTACTTTTGGGGGGATTCTATAATGGGCTTATATAACAATAGAGCCTTTTTGGTTGTCATCTCTCTGCCAGACTCTAAGCTCCTTTCTTGTATAAATTTTTTCTCTTCCCCAGTGGTTTGAACCCAGCATGTGCTTACTCATTTATTGTATAGGTTCTCCAGCAACACTGAATGCAGGGTCCTTTAAAAAGTAAATATATTTGACTTATGAGAACTTAGAAAAATAGACATTGAGACAGCAAAAGTCACAAACATGACACTCCTTTTTCTCTCCCACCTTACATTATCACCTCTATGCAAAGGACTCCCTGAGTTTTATCTCCCGCCTTCACCCTTTCTAGTCCACATTTCTAAATACCTGAAGGATATACTGTAAGCTGGCATGCCCTTGTTGGCACTCACACTTGATGTCCCCAGGCTTAGCTCAACCTCTCCCCTCCGCCACCCTCTTTCCAACTACCCTATTTCTTCTGATGGTACTGCTATTCTTGAGAAGACTGGGTAATGACCTAGGCATGAAACTGGTCTGTTGTTTCTCTCTCTTTCCCAGATCATGCCCCTAACTACAGGTGTTCCCTGAAGCTGTGTCCAGGGTCTTTTCTCCCTGTGGACGGGATTCTTTCACCTTTTTTGTGTCATGAGCTCAGCCCCTCTGGCAGTCTGGTGACATCTATGGACCCCTTTCAGAAGAATTTTAAAATGCAAAAAACAAAATACATTGGATTAAAAAGGAAAACAATTACATTGAAATACAGCTAGAAAAAATAGTTTTTTTAAAAAATGTACTATTTTTTCACTTTGTTTTGAGTCTTGCACAAAATGACTAATATGGAAATGTTTTATATGATTGCACATGTATAATCTATATCAGATTGCTTACAGTCTCAGGAAGGGGGAAGGGAATGAAGGGAGGGAGGGATAGAATTTAGAACTCAAAACTTAAAAAAAAACTAATGAATGTTAAAATTGTTTTTACGTGTATGTGGGAAAAACAATTTTTGTTTTTAAATATCACAGTCCTCTAGGTAAGAACCCCTGGCCCTACCCCCTAGGTGACTTCATCAGTTCCCATGGGTTTATAATCTTATTATTTAATTATGCATATATATATATATGTACTTACATACATATATATATATATATATATATATATATATATATATATGATCTCAGGCTTTCTCCTTGAGCTTCAGTCCTGAATCACCAACTAATTACCTCTTAGATGCTTCAATCCAGATGCTCTAAAAAACTCTCAAACTCAACATGTTCAAAATAGAATTCTCTTTCTGCCCAAATCCAACCAACTTTTAAACTTTTTTTTTTCTTTAGGTAACTGGGGTTAAGTTCCTTGCCCAGGGTCACACAGCTAGTAACTGTTGGAGGTTGGATTTGAACTCAGGTCCTCTTGACCCCAGGGCAGTGCTCTATCCAAGGTGCCACTGAGCTCCCCCACTTGCTTTTTTCAAAGGCACCACCGTCCTTCCAATCTCCCAAGTCCATAATCTTGGTGTTATCTTCAACTTCTCATTCCCCCTAAGTCCTCATATTCAATCAGTTACCAAATCTTGCCATTTTTACCTCCACAAAATCTTCTGTATCTAACTTAATTTTTAAAAATTATTTCTTCTTCCTACTGTCCCTCCCCATCCATTTTTAACAATGACAAAGAACAAAACCCTCACAACAAACTCCCATGGACCAGCAAAGCACCCACCCCCCACCCCCCATGCTGGCCACGTCCAAAGTGCAAGCCTTCTTCTGGATTTTAGGGATATCAGCCTCTGGGGCTGGAGGTAGGTGACATGATTCAAGCTTACTCCTCCGGACTCCCAGTGTAGGCAGAATTCTAAAGACTCTCAAAGGTGTTTTTTCTTTATATGTCATGTAAATTGTTCTAGTTCTGGTCATTGCACTCAATGTTTCCTCTGACTCTCCCCATTCCTTCATTTCTTATGGCACAACAATATGCCACCATATTCCTATACCTCAGTTTGTTTAGCCACTCCCTAGTAACTGGGAGCCTCCTTCATTTCCAGTTTTTGGCTACCATGAAAAGAGCTGCTGTACATATTTTTGTACTCCTATATGCTGACCCTTTTGTCTTTTTACACAGCCACTACCCTAGTTCAGTTACCCATCTCTTTGCTATTCTCACTGGCCTCAATTCTCTCCCATTCCAATCTATCTTGCACACACACACACACACACACACACACACACACACACACACACACTGCTGCAGAGATGTGACCACGTCACTCCCCTGCTCATTAGCTCCTGTGGCTCCCTACTGCCGCTAGGATAAAATATAACCACTTTATTTTGATTTTTAAAATCGCTGGCACCCTGGTTCCCAGCTATATGCTTTACATACACTAGCTCATTTGATTCTCACAACAACTGTACTAGGCAAGTGCTATTATGTCTTACACATGAGGAAACTGGGGCAGACACCTTAGGAGACTAGTCCGGAGTCACTCAGCTAAGGGTCTGAGTCAGTATTTGAATTCAGGTCTTCCCTGACTCCAAGCCCAGCACGCTAGCTGTTTGCGCCACCTAGCGGCCTCCTGTTGCATTACTCCCCTTCTCACACCCTGGTCCTTCTCAATTGATCTGAGGTTTTTCGCCCCGGGGAGGGGGGGGGCATTCCCCTGGCTGTTCTGTATTACTGAAATGCACTCCCTTCTCACCTCTGCTTCCAGATGCAATTCAAGCACCATTTTCTACACAAAAACTTTCCTAAGGCTCCCAAACTACCTTGTATTTATATATTTACATATATGCATGTTTTCTCCAATGATAGAACAGATGCTCCCTGAGAGCAGGGTTGGATTCTTCATAATGTTCATATCCCTTGCCATGTAATGGGAACCGAGTTTGTTGATTTCCATTTTCACATCAAGTTAATTACCAAATGCCATTGATTCTGCCTCTACATCTTGCTCACCATCCTTTTTTCCCCCATTCTCCCCAAGTTCAGATACCCATATCTTGCCTAGACATATAACCTCCTAATTTCATCTTTCTGCCTCCAATCTTTCCCCTAATTGATTCTTCCCACCACAGCCCAAATCACCATCCTAATTAACTTTACTAAACCTATTTTGCTGTTCCTCTAACAGCATTCCATCTCCCCACTGGCTGTCCTCCTACCTGGAATGCTCTCTTTCCACCTTTACCTGCACCTCCAAGCTCTCTACAAGACACAGCTCAAATCTCACTATCTGAGAAGCCTTTCTAGGCCTCCTGCAATGCTAGTGCCTTCCCCCTATAATTACTGTCCATTTACACAGATACTGATGGGACCCAGATCCTGAATTTTCCTATACATTTTAGCAACCCAGTCCCAAGAGTCTCACCCAAGGCACCTGGCCCATCCCAGCCCTCCTGGACACTCAAAAGTCAAAGGACTGTGGTTCCCTGACCCCAGCCCAGACCACCTAACTCCTTTCACCTGGCCCACCCCAGGCTATTTACCACTTCTTAATTCCATCCAGATCTTCTCACTGCTCCTTTTTTCTGTATATAAGTATCAATCTCACCCCCATTAAGTTGAAAATTCTTTAGGAATCCAGCCTGCTTTTTGGGTTATAACAAACCTTGCTACTCTGACTGAAAGAAGGCCTGAGTGCTTGAATTCTTTCCAGACAGACTCGCCCTGTACCTTCGATGTGGATGGGATCTGAACCCCTAAAAGGAAAAGCCCTGGATTTTCCCACATGGCCAAATCTCTGGCTTTATTCTATCAACTGGACTCTCCTTCTTGCCTATGCCCAATCTCCCAATTCTTTGTTAGCCTTAATTGAGCCTAGCCCTCGATTGTCTGGTACCCCCCTCTTGGTTCCCCCGTCACTTCCCACCCTTGGTCCTACACAGACCCCATTCTATCTCCCAGTCACTCCCATTAAGATACCCCTTTTCCCAAACCCCTCCTCCAGTCTCCCCAAACTACTCGGCCAGTCCTAGATCCCTCCCACTGTCTTTCTGTATATAAGAGCCATCTTGGGATGGACTTAGGGACTAAGACTTGCTCAACCCCGTTTGTCAATATGAGCATCACAAATGTTTAGATTCTTTGGTCAATATGTCTGATCTTTAATAAACCTTGTCTTTGGCTGAAAGAACGTTTGGGACGAATTCATCAAGGCAGGACCCCAGTGTGGTGATTTTGGGGTCCCAGCACCCCTAAACCTTAACACTCTTGACATTTCTGGGTTTCCAGCAACCCCAAACTGCACCAATATATTCATTTTGTCTGCTTACAGATGTTCCTCTTCCCCCTATAAACTGGGAGCCCCTCGAGGGCAGGCCAAGCACAGTGCCCGGCGCATAGCAGACGCCCAACAAATGCTTATTGGCTGACTGGCCCTACAGGCGCGGTGCCCACTGCGGGAGAAGGGGCAGAGCAACAGTCCCTGGTGTTGGGACCACAGGACCAGGCTGACCGCACCGCCCCGAGCGGACAGCGATGCGGGAAGGTCTAGCCAGGCTTTGAAGGCCACCTCGGGGCGCTCTGTCCAGACTCAGGCGCTGTGCTAAGCGCAGAGAATACAAGGAGTTACCCCAGTTTCCGGGCTGCCAGAGCAACTCCGTCCCCAGGGTCCTTGACCCTGAAAATGAACCACAAACTTCCCAGCAGGCCTTCTCGCCCTGACTCTGCCCCTCGCGGGCCAATGCCACGTTTCCCCGCCCCTTGGAAGGAAGACGTAGTTCCGTTTCCGGACTCAAGCCGAAAGGCGGTTGCTAGGCAACGGCCCGTGCTTCCGGCTTACAAACGGATGGGAGGAGCCCGGCAAGTGACGTCCAACGGGCGAGACGCGTGATTCTACTGCTCCTCCCAGTGACCTTCAAGATAACGGTAGGGTGGGGAGGAGCGAGCCGGAAAGGACCTGCGAGAGAGGCGCTGATTGGCTGGCGGAGTTTCATGGGGGCGGGTGGCTGCTGATTGGCCGCGAGTGCGCATGCGGGCGACCACTGATTGGTCGGAGGCTGTAAGCACCCACTCCTAGGACCCCCCGCGAGTTCTAGCCTTTCACTTCTCCCCAGGACCTCCAGCCCTAGGCGTCGACCATGCCCCGCGGAAGCAGGAGCCGGACCTCCCGGGTAGCTCCCCCGGCCAGGTAAGAGGCGAAGCCGGGGTGACTAGACGGTGGCGGGGTGGCTCTGGGGGAAAGAAGAAGGCGAGGAGCGGGAGGTCAAAGCGCCGTGACGCAGCCGGCAAGGCCGCTGGGGGAGGGGCAGCTGGCCCTATGGGCACCCACATCCGGCCCGTCCCCACTCCTCGCATGCGCGTTGCCCCCCTTCGAGACCCACGTGGTTCCCGCGGCAGGGGGCCCTTTCCTGCATACTTCCGAGGCCCGGGCTGCGCAGGTCACCTCCTGCGGGCAGGCCCAGCTCGGGGAGGATTGGAGTTCGGAGCTTGGAGCCGGATAGCGGCCACACTGCCCCGTGCCTAAACATCCGGGGGGCTGAGGAGCCAGGCATTGAGCTCTGTTAGGGCCGTTAGCACCCCTCCCCCGCTCATTGCCTCTGTTTACTTTCCTATGCCCTCGGGCTTCGGGCCGTAATTACCATGATTTTAAGTCGCTAAACAAAATAGAGAGGACGAAAAGTCTAATTTCAAAGCAAAATTGCTCATCTCTTAAACTGCCCCCCCCTTTTCCAAATACCCTGTTTGTGCAACTGTTCCCTGTAACGTGGTTCCGAACGGTTTGTAATTCCATGATCCCGTAACACACGAAAAGTAGTATACGACTTATTATCTTTAATTAAAGATTATATTAATTAATTACTTACTGCTTAAGGCCTGTGGTGGTTTGTCCTTGATTCTCCAAGAGGACCATGACGTCAGTGTCACAACTTGCAAGTGAAATGGATTTAAGTGAGGGAGGGCTGTGCAAAGTTACCAGCCTCACTTTCGTCTCCTGAGCCTTCAGGGTCCAGTGGTCAGATACACATCGGGACGACTGGAGATGGCCCCCCACCCCCTCTTAAGGACTATTAGCTCCGTGGACCACCTTCCAAGGGTGGGATTCAGATCCCAGAATGTTATATCTGACATTCGATAACTGCAGTGACTCCCTGTAATATCCAGGATGAAACAAAATCTCTTGTTTTGGCTTTTAAAGCCCTTCATAACCTGTCCCCCTCCCCCCTTCCCAGTTCTTATGTCCTCCAGTGCCGCTGGCCTTCTTGCACAACACATTTTTCTTAATTCCAAGTAGTTTCACTAGCTTTCATCCATGCCTGGAATGCTCTGTCTCCTGGCCTTTTCAGACTCCAGCTAAAATCCTGCCTTTTACAAGAAACCTTTCTGGAATCCCACTTAATGCTAGTCTAGCTTCCTTTTGTGCTTATCTCCAATTTATCCTATGTATCTCTTTTTACATAGCTGTTCTTGCATGTTTTCTCCTCCCCTTTAGACCAAGCTCCTTGAAGCAAGCAGGAATTGTTTTTTGTGTTTGATTGTATCTCCAGGGCTTAACCTGGCACATAGTAGGTTATACTACTTGTTGACCAAAGAAACCAATTACATTGAAATGCAGTTACCAAAAAGTGTATATTAAATTAATGGAAATTTAACAATCTTTGTTCTAAAATTTTGCTCAAGGCCTCACCATTTTGATCAGGTTCTAGAGACTATTATACAGTTCCTGCTCCTTGCAGTCACCCATTCTTACACCATTCTGGGCATGTCCTTGGCTTCCTGCTGTGTGAAATGAGAGATTGTACTAGATTAAAGGACTTCTCTGCACTAAATCCTTTGAGCCTAAGTATAATCCACTGCTTGATTATAGTTTTGGGTCCACCCTCAGTCACACAGGACTTGATCAGCCCAGCCACTGTTACACGGGAAATAATGATTTCCCTTTTGCTTGACCAGAGCAGGGTTGAGGGTAGAGTCTGTCCATCTCGTCCTTGTTTCTGTTATTGTTGATGACAAAGGCTTGATCTGTCCTGCACTTGAAGGTTTTCAGGCTGCTTTTATGGCTTGTTTCACTGAGTCTTCAAATTATTTTATTCTACATATGGCAGAGGATCTTTAGAAAAAAAAATAGTACAGTGACTTGCCCAAGGTCCCCCAGTGACAGTCGTGAATTGAACCCAGTTCTGGGTCCATGTACATTTATTTTTCTTTTATACCAGGAGGATTTTTTTTTTTTAGTTTTTTTTTGTTTTTGTTTTTGTTTTTTTTTTTTTTAGTTTTTTTAGGCAATTGGGGTTAAGTGACTTGCCCAGGATCACACAGCTAGAAAGTGTCAAGTGTTTGGCTTGAGGCTGGATTTGAACTCAGGTCCTCCTGACTTCAGGGCTGGTGCTCTATCCACTATCGGGGATTTTTAAGGTCCTCTGTCAGTTAATTAGTATAGAGGCATATATAATTCCTGATTTGGGACTATGGGTGTAACTTCCATATGATTATGCTTTTAGAAAATTTTTTGTTGATCTCTTTTATTTTTATATCCCCTACATTTCTCTTTTCATAACTTAATACAAAGTATTTTCAGCGTAACAAGCCAGTGACATTTGAAATTTGTATTATAATAATAAAAAGAATGAACAATATTTTAAATAAAGACCTAGGTTGTTGATATGTAAATGTGCAAGACTTCCCACCCCCTTGCATTTGCTAATCTTGATCAATTGGAGGTAGAAACTTTTGTTTTTCTTTTACAGCCGGGCACCCCCAGTGAGAACTGTGCCAGCACCAGCAGCTCACCCTCCAGCAGCAGTCCCACCATCTGCAGTTGCCCCTCCTACTGCTGCACCCAGGCAGCCGGGTTTGATGGCCCAGATGGCCACCACGGCAGCAGGAGTCGCAGTGGGCTCAGCTGTCGGCCACACTATTGGTCATGCCATCACTGGTGGCTTCAGTGGTGGGAGCAATGCTGAGCCTGCAAGGCCTGACATCACTTACCAGGTACGTTAGTATATAGTGGGTGAATACCTCATCTTCCTGAAGGCCTGCTACTGTCTTATTCCTTAGTAGTTTTCAGTAAGGGGCATTTGTCCATGGGGACTGGTCATGTTGGGCTTTGGATCCTGAGCTGTCAGATTGTATTAGAAATTAAACTCTCATTCATTTTCTCAAAGCAGGGTTTTAGAGATTAGTCCTGAATCATTTTCATGGTTTCCTTTCAGACTGGTCTTTAAGAGCTAATTGTCGTAGAGCTTTCAGCCTCTTCTTGTGTCTTATCAGTGTCCGTCCATTCTTATATCTCTGCTTGTTATAAAAAGAAAAGATACCAACAAAAAATTTTTTTAAGCATAATCATATGGAAGTTATGTTCATAGTGCTTTGTGAACTTACTCATTCATCTTTCTTACTGTGTCTTTTGTAAAGGTGTGTGCTTTTTAAAAGATCCAATCTAATGATCGGTTTCTAGTTTAGTTTTTTCTTGGGTGGTCTTCATGCTCCAGATGCCTTTCTCTAGTATCTTAAAGTACCATCTTCCCAGGAGCCTCAGGGAGCCCAGCCAGCATACCAGCAGCAGCAGCAGCAGTTCGGCCCCTGCCACTACGAGATGAAGCAGTTCTTAGAGTGTGCCCAGAACCAGGGTGACCTCAAGCTGTGCGAGGGCTTTAGTGAGGTGCTGAAGCAGTGCAGGTTTGCAAATGGTAAGTACTGGTGCTCCCAGTGACCGTCTTGGAGCTTTAGGAGAGGTGCGGCTATTTCTTATCTTCTGAAGGCAGCTCCATCCTCGGTAGTTCTGAGAATAACTGCTTTGGGGCCTACATCTTCTTCCTAGAAATGGTAACATAACTCTAAGAAGAATGCTGGCAGACCCTTCCTTTTGTGGGAGATAGATTTCTGCTCAGCCCAAGGAAGACTTAGAAGGAGAATGGACTGCAGAAGGGAATGATGAGTTCCCTATGGTTGGAAGTCCTTAAATAAAGCCTGGATGGCTGCTTCTTCTTTAGTATCCCCACAGCCTTGTGAGGCATAAAGGCTGCTACCAACATGCTCTTTAATACAGTGAGGAAACTGAGGCTCAGAGGTGAAATGACATGCCTATGATGTCACATGAAGGATTATGTCCACTCAGCAGTGGGCAGCCCAGTCTTTTTTTTTTTGGCCTTGATGTAGGTGTTTACAGTAAGTGTAATAATACTCATCTTTTTTTTTTTTGTAGGATTAGCCTAATTGAGACCTTCAAAAGAAAGATGGAAAAATCAACTCTGAAGACCAATCTTAATTTAACATAATCCATGATTACTAGTGAAATTATAAAGAAAGCTGAGACCACCAGTATTTTGTTTCCTCGTCTGTTTGTCACTAATATCCTTTTGTTTCAGAACAGCCTTCGAGAAGGGTATTCCCACTGTGGAGATAACATGACATGATATAAAATGTTGGGATGAGGCAAATGCTTGTGTGGTCTCTCATCAAAATGAATGATTGTGATGTATAGAGAAAAGAGCATCTTAAGTTATGGCTATTGATTAAAATAAAGTTATTTCCTCTTGGATCTGAGATCTATAAGTGTGGAAATGGGAACTTAATTATCTTTGTTTGGTGGAGGGGTGTGATAAAAGCGTAGAAGGTGCCAGATGGTTCCTTCTTGGAGTCTACAAAAAAGTTTTTTGTCCAAAGGAAAGAGAAGTAATTATTCAGAGAGAGCTAAAGTGGAAGTGTTATCAGAGAAAGGGAAATGGGTTTTTTAAGGCCCGTGAATATATTTTGAATTCCATTGTTTTCATTCCTATAGTGGTGGCTTTCTTATTTCAGAGACGAAGCCAGGGCTCAATCCTCCCAGGTCCTGCCATTCACATAAATATAAGTGTTTTTGTAAGCCTTGTTTTGCCCATCCCATAAGATCACAAGGCCAAGGAGAAAACGGATTCTGTGCTGTCAGAGCTGCCCTTTCAAGTTGGTGATGGTCCAGTTCTGTGGTGTGTATTCATGTGCATGTGGCCTGTTGGTGATGAAATCCAGGGGCAAGGAATTTTCCACTGAAACTTTGGACAGCTGTGGTTTGGAGAATGGGCTGACTTAAACGTCAGTGCCAGAAGTGCTTGGCTTCTGTTAGCTTTTATCTTCAGTTACCATGAGGTGGGGGAGGGTCAGTGCTGGTCCTACATAAGTCCAAAAATTTTTTAAGCACCTACTAGGTGCTGGGCACTCTGCTAAGTGCTAGAGATAACAAAAAAAGTTTCTTCAAGGAGCTCACAATCTAATGGAGAAGACAAGCAAACAAATATGGCCAAACTAGCTATGTACAGGATAAATAGGGAATAATTGAGGGGGGAATGCACTAGAATTAAGAAGGGTTGTAGAAAATGGGATTTTTGGTGGGACCTAGGAAGGTAGAGGGGATGAGGGAGAGCATTCTAGGCCTAGGAGGACAGAAAATGCCCAGAACCAATTGACATATTTGTACAACATCCAGGAGGCTGGTATCACTAGTTCAGAGTATGTAAGAAGATTGGAATGAAAGGAGGGGGTTGGGTTACCAAGGGCTTTGAATACCAAATGAGCATTTAGTATTTCTCCTGTAGGCAGTAGGGAACTTGAGTTATTATATAGCAGGGGAGTGATAGCAGTCAGATGTGCACTTCAGGAAAATTACTTTAGTGGCCAAATGGAGGATTGATTGGAGTGGGTAGAGGCTGAAGGCTATTACCGTGGTCCAGGCATGTGGTAATGAGGGCCAGGACCATGGTGTGGGGCAGTATCAAGATTACACAAAAGGTGTGTTCCAGAGGATGTGAGGTTTTGAGCTTGGGGGAATGGGAGGATGGTGTTGCCCTCTACAGTCATTGAGGGGCAGGGGTGGGGAATACAGGGCAAAAGATAGTGAGTTTGGTTTTGGACATTGAATTTAAGATGTATATTATGGACATCCAGTTCAAGATGGCTGAAAGGTAGTTGGAAATACAATCGAGGTCAGCAGGGAAGGTATATTTGGGAATCATCAGCATGGAGGTGGTCAAGTGTAGTATAGAAGGAAAACAGAAGGCCCAGACCAGACCCCTGAGGAACACTTACATTTGAGGGTGTGTTCAGGAAGAGGATCCAGCAAAGGAGTGAGAATGATCAGCTGACAAAGGCTGCTGTAGAGAGGTCAAGGAGAAAGAGGATTGAGAAAAGAACATTCCATTTGGCAGCGAATTGGCAATTTTGCTGGAATGCCAAGGTCAGGAGGCCAGATTGTAAGAAGAGGAAGTGGAGGAACGTATTGTAGACGGCCTTTTCTGGAAGTTTAGTTACAAAAGAAGAGATAGGAAGATAGGAGTGGAAAGGTCAAGAAGCTTGGGTCAGAAGATTAGCAGTAGAATAAAAACCAGTATATCCTCTAGTGCTGACCTGGAGCTGGGCGCCATTGGCTGCCATTGTCAAGGAAGTTGAGACTGAGCTAGAGATCAAGCTTCTGTTTCAGTGGGCCAGGAGCCCCTTAGGAGTAGTGGGGCTGCTTGAGTAATGGGCTTTCAGAGCTCAAATGAGTGAGGCAGGGTCCAGGATGCCCATACGCATTCCGAGACCTAGCACATCAAAGGGGATCTGGCAGCGATGGAGCAGGAGTTGGAATGAGGCTGGGCACTCAATCCAGGAGGGAACATGGAAGAAGGAATATTAATCCTTCCTTGCTTCACGAGAAATGTCCAAACTGACGGTCTCTCTATCCATACCAGGACATCTTTCTATACCATGAGAATTAACAGTCATCTTGAACAGGGAAGATTAAGGACATGATAAAGTACAGTTTGGGGTTAATGTTCTATACTGTGAGCAAAGCTACGTAATCCAGTCTTAAAACCACTCAACTCCTCCTTTGACTGTTTCCTGAGAGACTCTTCCTGTAATCAACACCCTAAACCTTTTAAAAAATTCAATTCAGTGAACAGTTATTTTAAGTGCCTGCTGCATGTGAGTGAGTCACTGTGCTCAGTGCTGGGGATTTAAATAAGAAAAAACAAAAGGAGCTGGAAAGGGAGTGTGGGGCACGGGGCACCGGAGGGTGCCCAATGTGGGGGCATCTTGTTGCATGAAGTTAGCTCCAGGCTGAGCTGCACAGCATGACTCATCCCTTCAAGGAATGGGGAAAGCTATGTTCTCTGTTAGACCTTAGGTAGTTCTAAATTTGGTGGCCACCCTTAACCCATTTTCTCTAAGCCTGTCATTCTCCACCTTTTGCTTGACTTCTTAAGGAAGAGTCTGGAAAGGCCTTTTGAGAAATATTTGCTAATATTTCAGTGGAACAAAAAAGGTTTTTAGCACTAGTGAGAGGTCCCAGTCTTTAAGGAGAGCCACACAATTAGAATGTGCAATAATAATCCATGGCTTTGTTCAATCAACAAGGATTTTGCTGAGTGCTCAGTGTTCCTGGGCACTAGACTTAAGCGCCCCAATTTCAGGCCACTCACACCTGAGCACTGCCCGTGAGGCTCTAAAACAATTTTACCAACAGCTAGGAAGCAGGGAAATCTTCGACATTATGCAGGCTGACCATCTAGAAAGTTTCAGAACAGGTTTATACGTTGAAATGATGATACGTGTGCTCGGGGAACATTCCTCACCTTTAAAAACTATCATGGAAGGTAGCCACCACGCTCTCCCAAGATGTGCGGGCGCCACTCCTGAGTGGACGGTCGGTCTCCCGCTTGAAAAAGGCCCTTGAAAAGGGCTTGCTGAACCAGGAGAGGCAAGTAAGGAAAAACTTGAAGATGAAAGCTGTCCAAAAGTAACAAGGGCAACCCAAGAAGTGGGCTGATCCCTGTCACTGGAGGGATTTAAGCAGATGCCAGATGTGGAGGGGATTGCATTTCAGTGATGAGGTCACCTCCAGAATCCCCACTCTCAGAGGCTGAACTATATTGATCAGTGGTAAGACCCATGGTGACATTTTAAATTACATTAATGACAGTGATAATCCGCACCCACTCTACTTGGACATTTGCCCTGAACATCTGCTTGGAGAAGTCAGTTCAAACGAGTGATCAAGGCAGTGTGTGGAAGGACTTGCTGGATTGGGAATCAGATGACCTGGGTTTGAATCCAGGCAGCGTCCTTACCATGTGTAATGCTAGGTACAATAAAGAGACATCAAGGGTTCCTCCCTCAGTGAGCTTACAATTTTTAATTGCATTTCTCTAATCAAAAGCGATTTAAAACACTTCTTCATATGCCTATAGATATCTTCATATGGGTTCAAATCTCTTCTGGGGCCTGTTACACCTATGTGACCTTAAGCAAGGGGCATCCTCCAAAACTGCCAGTTTCCAATTTTACCAGTGTAAAATGAAGGGCTTGGATCAGATGACCACAAAGGTCATCCGGTCCTTCCAACTTTATATCTGAGCACATAAACACCTGGTAGGGGTAAGGGTAGGCATCAGCAGGGTCATCAGAATGAACAAGAGCTTACCTTCTATCTCTCTGGTATTTATCTTGTATGAACATAGTGTTCTGTGTGTTGTCCTCCTCCATTAGAATGGGATCTCCTTGAAGGCAGGGACCACGATTTTGCCTTTCTTCATCTTCCCTTTGCTTGGCACGTAGTAAGTTTAATAAATGCTTGTTGACTGACTGACAGCCTACTCAGGGTGCTAAATTTACACGAAAAGTATAATATATTTTAAGGATTAATCATTATAATGTTCAGTTAGGTCTTACTCTTTGTGAACCCATTTGGAGTTTTCTTAGCGAAGATACTGGAGTGGTTTGCCATTTCCTTCTCCAGCTTATTTGACAGATTAGGAAACTGAGGCAAACAGGGTTAAGTGACTTGCCCAGGGTCACACAGCTATTAAGTGTGTAAGATCTCCCTGACTCCAGGCCCACCACTCTATTCATTGTGGCGCCCAGCTGCTCCCAATCATGAGTTACCATTTATATAGTGCTTTAAGGTTTTCAAAGCACTTTATAAGTTTTCTTATCACAAGAACCGTGGGAGGTAGGTGCTATTACATCATTATATATACTATTATATACATTATATATAAGATATTACATATGTGTGTGGGTATAGTCCCCATTTTGTAGATAAGGAAACTGAGGCAGAGCAGGTTAAGTGACTTGCCCAGGGTCACATAGGTAACGATACTAAGGCAGGATTTGAACTCAGATCTTGCTGATTTCAAGTCCTACACCCTATCTACTGCATTACCCATCTGCCTTAGCAATCTGCTACAGTGGCTCTGGGTTCAAATGTCACTTTTGTACATAAGTTCTATAGGACCTTGGGCGAGTCATCAACTTTCCCTCAGTCTCAGTTACCTCATCTGTAAAATGAAGGAGATGGTCCCTGATTTCTCTATTCTTACTCTATGGGACTTCAGTCATCCCCTATGTGCCTAGCACCCGAGCACTGAACTCCAAATGGAGGGTAATCCAGAAGGTAAATCAATGTATTTGCTTATCCACCTGTATTTTGCCTCAATTATAAAGTTCTTTCCAAAGTGAGCTCCCCACCCCCCGGGCTGCTCGCTCACTGTGTAAGGCTCCAAGGTTTCCATGTATGATTTATTACTGGC